ACAAGGTTCCAACTGGAATGAAGACTTCGTGTCGAAAAATATGACTGTCTTCTCAGAGAACTGGGTTGATATAAGTGGGCAGTATATAAATTGGATAACTAAAATTGGGGGAGATAAAGGCATAAAGTGGTTGGCTTACAAACTTTCCTAGATAGGGAAAAGAATTCACAGGATTATAGAGTTAAGGTATAGGTGTTAATTTCAATTGTGAAGCTAAGAATTATATACAGGTGCCAGGTTGGCAAGGGGTGGATTGAGTTAGTTAATTATGCCCATAATCACATGTGGGGCTAATTGAAAATGACTAAATTTCTAAAGACAAGAATCCAAATGTTTGTTTCAGATTCAAAACCTGGTTCCTAGCAAAGGGGGCTCCAGGGAGGAACAAGAGGAGAATGAAGGAGAAGAAGAACACTAGGCAAGAACCAAAGGTTAGTCTTCAGGGTATTCAGTTTCTCTCTCTAAAGAAAGCATGGTAACAGAAATGCATCTAATCGGTTAACCTCCTCTCATCCATCAGTTCTTCCTCCAGTGGACATCCAATTGGTGATGCTGCCATGACCCAGGTCAGCATTAGTGATGTTCTTGGTCACCTTTCTTCCTGCAGGATCCATTTGCAATGATTGGAGTGTCCCTGAACAAAGTCAAGGTGAGCCAAGAGAAAGATCAAGTACAGGAAATAGGAAATTTACTCTTTCTTTTTAGAGTAAGATATTAGAAAGTTTCTCTCCCGGTCACAAAGATTATTGTCGACATTGTCAGGTGCTGTTGTCTGGGTTCCTGCTGAGTGACCTTTTGGACAACAGAACCAAACACTGACCCGTCCTGCACCACACTCACAGTTGTTATGTTGGAAACCATGGTAGCAGCCACTGTGTCCATCCATCTTGTGGAAGGCCTTCCTCTTTTTAGCTGCCCTTCGACTTTACCGAGTATGATGCCCTTCTCCAGAGACTGGTCTCTCTTGATTGCAGCTAGTGATACATCAAAAAGCTTCCCCCAGTGACCGTAGCAAGAGCTTATTTAGAGCACAAGTTACCTGATCAAGAACATCTGAAAACTGTCGAAGTTTGCTGAGCTCCACCAAATTCAGCCAGGTCATGTCCAGGATCCATTTAGAGGGTTTAGTAGGACAGGCTTTAAGGTCCAACGAGGCACCACCTTTAAAATTAGACACATGAATAATCGCAATCGTCTTGTTACTGAAAAGCCATCCATTTAATATATCTTCACTATAATTACTTTACTGTCCTTGACACTTGAGTACAGAAATATAAATTACAATTAGGCTTTAAAAAGAAAATAGCTGCTTTGGGAATGAAAACTCATATAATAATTGGTAATACGGCTATTTGCCACCCATTTGCCAGTCTGTCATATGGGTTGCTACACTGCTGGAGGCTATGGGACTAGTATTTCAAATACCAACCGGGTCTCCAATGGGAGGCTTGCTTCACCAGTTTTCAGACTATCAGTCTAGGAAGACAGGCCTGGCAATCTACTTCCAAAAATTAGGCAGTAAAATCACAACAGAGTATCCAATGCAGTAAACAGCATGGGGGGGTGGCCATAAATGACCCCCTCTGTCTTCCCTGTTGCCATGAGGCAGAAATCCAACATGCCTCCATCTTCCATCTTTCTTTACTGTACTCTGACATCAACCATTCCCCCATGGCACTCTACGTCTCTGCTGGGTGTGAGAATTCCTTGCAACAGCCATACGGAACTCACAGACAATGATGTGGATTATTAGAGAAGCTAATAGATTATGAAAAGTCCATATCAGGAAACATTACAGACACAGTCATTGATGTACAACAGCACCTCTCTTCCGCCAGTAGCTAATCTCCCTCCAGGCCTCAGCCTCTCAGTCATGTGGTCCCATGGCCTTTCTTTCCATGGATCAGGAAGCCAGCCTGCTGTTCTGATTCACAGTCACATTCATAGTGTCAGTGGGACTCCCCTATCCTATTTCATGGTCTCCCTGCCTCAGCCTCTGGTCTCAGCTTGTTTGCTTTGCTCCCATAGTCTCTATCCCGAGCCTCCCACCTCTGGTCTCGGCCCTGCCACTTCAGACATATCTGGAATGTGTTCCACTTCCAGTGGTCTTGGAATTTCTCTCTTGGCTCCTGCTTCAAAGATGCTTCATATTTATAAGCAGTGGGGGGGGGGGGAATTGACTAAAACTGAGCAACCCCCTCTATTAGTGTTACACATACCCTATCTGCATAGACACACCCAGTCACTTCCCTCACGCACTCCCTTGCTGGCTGCCATTGTTTCTACTTGGACTGTTAGCGACCTTATAGGACAGCATAGGACTGCTCTTACGAGTTTCAGAAAATCGTTGTGGGCAAAGAAAGATCTGTCTTTCTCCTGAGGAGCAGTTAGTGACTTCGAACTGCTGACCTTGTGGTTTGCAGCCCAACTCATAACCTATTACATGCTAGGGCTCCCAGAGACAGGAAGACAAGGGCCACATGCAGAATGAAAGGCTTCAGCCTGGCTGGCCCAGTGCTCTGGTAGTGACATATAGCTTGTTTATAAAGCACATGGACCAAGGTCTAGGACATAACAAAGTATCTATTGTCAGTATTAATGACTACCCAGTGCTGATGTCAGATCTTAGGTAAACACGGAGAATACTAGAAAGATATTTACTGGTGTTTTATAGATTATGTCAAGGCATAACAAATGGTGGATCACATTGTGAAGGAAAAAAAGAGAATTACAGAATTCTTCATTTTGCTCATGGGCTACCTGTACAAGAACCAAGGTCAAGACCTGTACAGGAATCAATTATAGAAGAAGGGTTGCAAGGTGATATGATGGAGGAAGCTGGGGTTGGAGACTTTGAAGTAGAAGCAAGTCCTCACAATGCTCCATGGGTGGAGGTCAGCAGATTTGGGGACCAAAATCAAGACCTATATAGGGATCAATTCCAACAGAACAAGAAAAGACTGCGTGGTTTAAAATCAGGAAAGGTGTGCAACGGAGTTGTATCCTTTCACCATAGTTATTTCATCTCTATGCCGAGCAAATATTCGGAGAAGGAAAACAAGGCAGCAGGTTTGACGGAAGGCTTACTAACAACCTGCAACATACAAATGACCTAAGCTTGAAAGTGAAGAGGACTTGAAGCACCAAGTTCTTCGATGAAATTCAAGGAATGCTGCCTTCCTTATGAATTGCAACTCAACACACAAGAAAACAAAATGCCTCGTGACCAACAGACAGCATCAAGACAAACAGAGAAAAGACTGAAGTTGTCAAAGATTCATTTTCCTTTTTCTCACCACACACTTGGGACATGTTTTCAGAAGAGACTAGATTCTGGAAAAGGATATCATGTTCAGTGTGTTAGTAGGACCAAGTGTGCGTCAATGATTCTGTTCTATAAGTCAATACTTAGTTACAGCCATGTGGAACCCACCCCAAGGACTCTGTGCATGTAATTTATTTTTGGTCAATCCAAGAACAGCAAACACTTCCATTTGGTACTAAAGCCTCTTGTTCACTGGTGATTTACCAAGTAACTCCTATGACTTGCACTCTACCATAAAATAAACAGACCTTCAAAATGCCATTGTTTCCCACGTCGGAAAAAAAATGGTTGACCAATCATATTTTATTTTTAAGTATAAGAGTTAATAAATCTTCTACAAGATAAAATGCACTATTTAATAACATCCTTAATGGGTTTCAAGAAAAAAGTCTCTGGGTATTATCTGTAAATCATATCCAATCCATTTGACCATCTCTAAAATCTAAAATTTTTCAGACAGAGCAAGTAATGAACAGGTAATAATACTCAAGATATTTACTGGATCAATCTCTACTTTATCCAGGTACTAGGCACACTGTTAAATTGTTATCTTTGGCCAGGTCCATTTAGCTTATTTCCAACAAAGGTAGTGTGATCTTGAAGTCATTTCAATAGAAATATGAGCTCATATTATCAAAACTGATTGCTTCAAGACCAGGGAACAGTTAAGATCCTAAAGACAATGCCATCGTGTTGAATAAATGCTGCACCAATTTCCATGGCAACTGTCCACTTTTCCCACAAACTGGAAAGAGAGAGGCACTAACCAGAATATTAGGGAAAGAGTGTTAATTTAAAGAAAAGGGAGTTATTTGCAGGCCAAAGCATTAGTCATTATTTAGTAGAGGGTAACGATGTCATAGGTCATAGGCTAGGAGTCCTAGTGGGCCAGTGGTTATGAGTTGAGCTGCTAATTGCAAGGTCAGCAGTTTGAAACCACCAGCCATTTCTCAGAAAGACAGGGCTTTCTACTCCTGTAAAGAGTCACAGTCTAGGAAACCCACAGGGATAGCTCTACCCTGTCCTTCAGGGTTGCTTTGAGTGGGCATCGATTGAATGGCCATGAGTTTGGTTTTATAAGGATGTCATGAGGCAGGGTGGTTCAGTGATAAACTCTTGTCTTCTACCTGGGAGATGCAGGTTTCCTTATGTACATTTGGTCTCTGGCCAGCAGACAGACCTCTTCTGCAACCACCATCATCCATCAGTGGAGGCTGACATATTGCTAAGATAATAAATCGTTTTCTGCAGACCTTCCAAACTAAGATGGGCAAGGAGGAAGATCTGATGATTTACCTCCAAATGTAGCCAATGAAACCTTACAGATCTCAGTGGTCCAATCCACTACATATCAAATCTCAGGGAAGTCACAGAGCTGGCTAGCACTTTGTTCCATTGTGTATGGGAGTACCATTTGCTAGAAGCCACTTGAAGGCAGCTAACAACCACAATATGGCCTGTTCCAAAGGGTTCAAAGGGCATAGAGAATATTTTTAATTAGAGATGGGGTAGGGGGACATATTTCTAGATTATATGGCACGAGAGTTAAGGCACTCTTGATGAATACACAGTCAAGGAAATAATCATTGAAAATAAGTTCTCAAGATTACGGATCATTTTGCCATTTCCATCATTATTTGAACTCACTTTGGGGAGGGGGAGTTCGGGCTTTTATCATAATGCTTTGTAAACTGATACATGTGTGTAACAATAGGTTTGTTTGGATTTTTGATTTGGGGGTTTGTTTGTTTTTCCAAATTGTACCATACAAACCCTATGGCTGTGGCCCCACATTGAACCACTCACATCTTACCGCGAGCCAGTTAAAAGGCCAGTTCCCAAATGCTATTGCTATGTCGATATAGGATTTTAAAGTTCAGACAGAAGGACGAAAGGACACTTTCACTACCCTAACTCCCAAAGGCCAATTATTTAACAATTGTGTTCCACAGAGTGTATCAATGAACTCTGTCATTGGCTCTCCCCCAAACTCCAACTTTACTGCCATTCAGTCAGACTCGTAGCGACCCCACAGGACAGAGGAGAACTGCGCATGTGGGTTTCTGAGACTGTAGCTCTTCATAGGAGAAGGAAGCCTGGTCTTCCTCCTGTGGTGGTTTCCAACACCTGTCTTCCAACTTCAAACGGCTGAAGTTTGCAGCCCAAGGTGCTAACCCAGTGTGCCCCGGGGGCTCTTATTCATTTTCAAAAGACCCCCAACACACACAAAAAAGGCCAAATTATACACATTTCAGATTGAAGATATTTTAATAATGACTATCATTTGCTGAGCATAGTCTATACATCAAGATTTATTTTTAAAATGTGTCATTCCCAATGATCACATTATGTGATTCCATTATCTGAGTTTTATACATCAATGAGGAAACTGAAGTTTGTAACTATTAAGTCACCTTCTCGGCACGGTCACTCATCGAGAAAGTGTCGACGTTGGCATTTGCACTCTCATCCCCTTCACTCTAAAGCCCCCTTTTCTAATTGTCCACCAGGCTCGGATACAATTTACGGAAGTTCAACCAGAACTGGACATTGTGGTCAGGTTTATTTCCACAGGAAATGCACCTCGTTTCTGCATTAAGGATGCCAGATACTACTTTTCCTTAAAAAACAAAACTCCATCAGCTGAAGCTCAGAGCCCAGAGTCTGAGGCCAGAACCCAGTGACACGTTCCTGGCTCCTGAGGCTGGGTTCCCCCAGCTCACCCATTGGCTGTCTGGTCCCACGGAGGACGTGTAGAAAATAAAGCTCAGTAGTCATCGCAGAGCCAGGTGAGAGCCACACAGACAGAGACGGTCCCCAATCAAACACTTCCAAGCTCCATTTAACTGACTGAGCCTTGGCTGCCATTGTTGTCATTGTTGTTAGGTGCTGTGGAGCCAGTTCTGACCCATAGAGACCTAGTGCGCAACAGAAGGAAGCCCACGTGGCTCTGCACCAGCCTCATAACTAGTCTTATGTTTGAGCCTCTTGTTGCAGCCGCTGGGTCCAGTGCATATCATGGAAGCCTTTCTACCCTTTCTCCGGCCTTCTGCTCTACCAAGCTTGATGTCCTTCTCTGAAAACATGTCCATAATACATAAGATAAAATGTTGCCATCCTTGCATCTGAGGAGTTCTCTGGCTCTGTGTGAGTGTGGGCAATGATATAAAAGTACATTCATCTATCTAAAACTAAGAATACGAACCTATCCAGTAAACACATCGCACCCGTTCCCTACTGCCTCCAGAGAGACAGTATTCAAGTTGATTTGAAATTTTACATCCCAGGTGAATGCAAGAAAAATAGATAAGTACTTATTTATAGATAAATAAATACCTACCCTCCTAAATAAATAGATAGCTAGGTAAATGTGCGTGGAGCCTTTAAAGGCTTTGCTTAGATGAGTGCCACAGTAGATCAAACAGATTAAACCATTTTGATCCTCGATCATCTTCAAAATGGGAATATACATTATTTTCTTCTAGGCGTTCAAAAATGTGGTAGTGAATCATTGTTCCGCAACTTTTTGCTGAGATTTACTGTTCCAGTGGAACAGAGAATGGGTCAGGAAGGATTACTTCTATACATGCACTATACATTCTATTTACACCACTCATGAAAGACCCATCACAATGATAACCCTCCTCCATCCCACAGCCCTTTAATTCCTCATTCTTCTCACCATCGTCTTTAATGTAATTACATTCTTTCTCTGTACTTTCTCATTCTTTGACACTTCTGGAGTATTTACCAAAAAAACCCCAAAACTCCCCAAACCCCAAACATCACTGCCATTGAGTTGATTCAAATTGATAGTGACTACATAGGACAAGGTAGAATTGCCCCTGTGAGTTTCCAAAACGATAACTCCTTATGGGAGTAGACAGCCTCATCTTTTTTCCACAGAGCAGCTGGTGGTTTAGAACCATGGTTACCAGCCTAGTGTGTGGCCACTCTACCACTGGGGTTTTAAAGGTGACCACCACAGTCCGTCAGTTGGTGGTACTGCGGCAGCTGGTGTGTTGCTGTGATGCTGGAAGCGATGTCCCTGGCATTTACAATGGGGCTTCAAAGAGGTCCTGGAAAAATGGAATGAAAGATGGTGGAAGTTTTCCACAAATGTTTTGAAGTCCCCTCATGTTGTCTTTCATACTACATTGTCTCTCATGACTTATTACTTTTGTACCCCCACCAAAAAAACTGTGTGTGTGTGTGTGTGTGTGTGTATATACATATATGCATATATGTGTATATGTATACATATATATACATATACATATACATAACTGTGTGTGTGTTTATATATATATATATGCAGATATATATATCTGTGTGCATGCAGGGTGCCTTTTTATTTTGTTCACTGAAACAAGGAGACTTCAAGACTTTTCTTGGAAAAATAAATGAAAAACGTAATGTCGCCCAATTTTACATGTAGAAACTGTTAAGTTGTTACATATTTTGCTGTGTATACTTTCAAGAATAATTTTTTTTAATTTAAAGAAAAATAAAAATTAAATTAAAATAATTTTTAAAAATAAAAATAGAATTCTTCAAGAACTCTCTGATTCTCCATGAGACCTTCCCCAGTGCCTACTCCATGCCTGGGCACATGGTTGCCCCTGAGCTGGTGCCTTCATGGCCACATGGACAGAGTGGAACTGCCCAAGAGGGTTTCCTGGACCACACTATGGATGAAATGGAGCCCGTGGTGCAATGGGAAAGCAGGCCTTTGCTAACCAAAAGGTTAGCAGGTGGAAACCCCCAGTGGCACCTGGGGACCAGCTCCTGCAAACATCACCATCCAGAAAACCCATGGGATGGCTCTACTTAGTCCTACAGGCTTGTTATGAGTTGGAATCCAGTCGACAGTACACAACAACAACAATCTTTAGCAAAGCAGACAGGCAGGTTTCTCTCCCTTGAAGCCCACTGGGCGGGTTTGAACGGGGCCAGCCTTTCAGTTAGAAGTTGAACACCGCACCGACAGTCCTCCCTGCCACCCAGGGTAGACTCTCCATAAGAATTCACTGAATAAAGGAATACATAAACATCTCGCATCCGTGCAACCTTAAACAAAATGCAATTGAATTTAAACAAAAACACTGCAAGGAACTTTCCAAAATCTACTGCTGCAGCTGGCTTATACAATCGTTTCGGTGGTGAGAGTGACCTTTAATCAAGGTGAGAAACTCCTCGTGCTTGACGCGGTTCCTCTGGATGTCGATCTTCAGGGTCAGCAACAAGGTAAAGAGGAATTTGTGCTCTTCGTACAGCCCCCGGGCCGCATACTTATAAACCTCGTAGGTCATGTGCTCAATGATATTAGCAATCCTCTTGCTTGTAATTGGGCTCTTGACAGACCTGCAAGAAAAAACATTTCAAGAGCATTGATTTCACTGCCCTTTTCTACAGTGGACAAAAGCAGGGTCCTTAGCAGAAAACAGGTAACTTTGCAGGACGGTGTCTATGGGTGCACATCAAGAGAAAGCCTCCAAATGCTAAAATAATGAGCATCTGTCCACGTGAAAGAACAACAGAATCCTCAGTGTTTTCTAAATCTGTCTTCCTTTCGGCAGGGCATTAGCGCTCACTGTGTCTGTGGTGGGGGGTCCTCTTATTGAATGGAAGTGCATGAAAATGAAGGAATCAAAACGGCCAACACACTGTACGTTGGGCTTTTTTTGGGCTTGAGATGACAAACCAGATGACTTGTTAACACAACGGTTATCACACTAACCTTGGATTTTAAAAAACAACAACATCTCTTCCTAGCAACGGGAATGGAACTTGCTGCCACAATGCCCTTGTTCCTCTCCCACAGATAATGAATTCTGCTTTGCTGCCTAAGTGTGGACATACCTGGCTAAGGAAAGGTCAAACAAGCCAAGGAACTGGCGCAGTGAAGTCTGGTACATCTCATTCACCAAGCTCATCTCTGTGATGAGGAAGTAGAGGATGCTGCCTCTTGTAGCAACTGAAAGACAAACAGCATAGTCACAAGGGTTACCACCGGGGTGGGCAATGGAGGACCGGTGCATGGTGATCAGCCTGAACAGTTACTTCAAGCAAGCCTTAATTGTGCACTTCACAGATGGGGTTTTCTGCTCCCATAAGTAGATACAGTCTAGGAAACTCCCAGGGACAGTTCTGCCCTCGGGTCATTATGAGTCAGAACCAACTGGATGGCAGTGTGTTTGGTTTGGTAACTGATGAGCATCTCCCAGCAGTGCTCCAGATCAGTGCTCATCAATTCCTAAATCCAATTATTCATATGTGAATCATGGTCCTTATTTTGCTGGTGGTGTTGAGCATACACACAGCAACACATAGACCACCTCAACACACCACTGAGTGACAGTGATTACATTCTTTGAGTTGTGCACCTATTTTTGCCCTCATTTTGTGGACTGTTCTTCCCCCCATTCACATAAATCCACGGTCCTGTAAGATGCCATTACTTTGTCATTCAAGCTTTTGCCATTACTTTCAGCCTACACAGATAATGTTTGAAAGCTACCCTGAGTCAGAACCAACTCCACGGCACCAAACAACCATGTTCAAAGAAGGCATTCTTTACAAGTAAAGCTAAACTATTTTTCCCATTTTGTTTTAAGAAGATACCAAGGTATGTTTTTGGATCAATGTTCAAAAACTATCTCAGGACAATATTTTGAGAGATCTATCCGATCTTCATGGAACCAGGAAATCCACAGTCCATGAAAAATTGAAATTCTGTTCTGCATTCCCCCCCCTTTTGATTATGAATCCTCCATGGGATTTCTTTACCAAAATGTTCAATGATGGTAACCGGAAAGCACTAGATTCTTTTCAAACTAAAACTCACTGCCATCCAGTTGATGCTGACTGATGGTGCAAAGGGAGTGGTTGTTCATGAAGCTAACTAGCTTCACATTCCATATTCTTTCTCTATCCCTGACTCTCCTTCTTCGTCTGTTGTTTCCAAGCAAATGGAGCTTAATTGCCTTTCCTTGGATGGCCACTCACAAGTTTTGAAGCCTCCAGGCACAATGCATTCAACAAGGAAGAACAGTAGTACTAAACATGTTATTAGGTCAATTACTTGGAATGTCCCATGCAGTCCCATGAAGGTTTTGTACATCTTAAATCTAATTCTTATTCTTTATATTTAACATGGAATCAGTGCATTTGAACTATAATTTTGGAGAAGAATGTTGAATGTACACCGGACTGCTGGAAGAATAAAAGTATCTGTTTTGGAAAAAGTACAGTTAGGCTGCATCACAGAACCAGACGGTGAGACTGCATCTCACATCTCACATACTTCAGACATTTATCAGGAGACACCAAACCCTGAAAAAGGATGCCATGCTTGGTAAAGTCAGGTCAGTAAACTAGAGGAAGGTTTGCCAAGATCTGGATTCACCCAAAACTTCAATAGGCTCAGACTTAACCATTGTGAGGATGGCACAGGGCTGGGCAGTGTTACTTTCTGCTGTACATAAATAAGATCACTCTGAGTCAGAACTGCCTCGACGGCACCGAACAGAAACAATGGTGTAGTCATGTGAGGATTTCATGCAGAAGTAGGGCAGAACTTTGCCCTGATGTCCACAACCCAAGCCATCCCAAAGATGATGGTTCTCACTCTCCATCAATAGATGGTATAAGTTGGATTGTTTATCCAGGAGAATTGATAAATGACTAAAATGAAGCATTTTAACCCCTTTAGTATGTTCCTCTGATAACCAAAGAACAGCATTGATTTGCCACTGGTGGCTCAGGTTGAATAAAACTGTCCATAAATTATCAATTCATTGCTACCAACTAACAAACATCTAGGGAGCAGCCTTAGTGGTGCTGTTGGGTAAGTATTGAACTGCTAACCACAAGGTTGATAGTCAAATTCAGCAGCTGCCCTGTGGGCTAGCTGCTCCCCATAAATATTTATGGCCTGGAAAACCCTCTACAGAGACGACATGAGTCAGAATTGACTTAATGGCGTGGGTTCGGTTATTTGGTTAGATTTTAACCATTAGAGGGAGCAGCCTATCAGTGTCTCACTAACCCTTCCAACTTCACTAATTTTCATTTCACTAATGTCCACATAGTTAGGTGATAGAAAAATTAATCCTTCCTTTTTACTGCCTAACTAAAAAAATAAGTCTCTTCCTCATGCATGCTACAACATGGGTGAACTTTGAACATCTTATGCTGAATGAAATGTGAGTCACAAAAAGACACATTTGATGATCCACCTTACTAGCTATATCGAGAATCATCACCAGTTTTCACTGTGCAAAGCCTCACTCACAGCACCACAAAAACCCACTGTCATCAGGTCAATTCCAACTCACAGCGACCCAATAGAGAAGCTGGTAGCATAGTGAGTGTTATCTGCAAGGTAAGCAGTCCCAAACCACCAGCAGCTCCAAGGGCGGACTGGGATTTCTACTCCCATAAACAGTTATGGCCTCTGAAACGCTGAAGGGCAGTACTACCCGGTCCTAAAGGGTTGCTATGAATCAATATTGACTCAGTGGCAGTGAGACCGTATAAAGCAGAGTACAATCACCTCTTTGGGTTTCTGAGGCTATAGATCTTTACAGGAACAGAAAACCCCATCTTTCTCCTGCAGAGTACCTGGTGTGTTTGAACTGCTGACCTGGTGGTTAACTGCCCCAGTGTAACTCACTACACCACTAGGACTCCTTGCACCACCAGGGCTATTTATACCTAGGATAGACAAGTGTACTGAGAAAATAGTCTATTAGTAATTACCAGGGTTGAGGGTAGTGAGGAGAACAGGGGGGTCTCATAACTTAGGAGAGCTGAGCTTCTGTTAGGGTGATGAGAAAACTTGGAAATGGATAATGGTGATGGTTGACCAACATGGTAAATATAATTAACATCTTGATTGTGAAAGATGTTGATAAGGCAAATATTTTGTTACACATATACTCACCATGATATTTTAAGCATACAAAATGTACACACGTGAATCTCAAAGATGATGCCAAACTGATACGAATTATGAGCAATTGAAGACTCTGACCATTACAGGAGCCCTGACTGTGCATTTATTAAGCACATGGTTGCTAACTCAAAGGCCAGCAGTTCAAACCTACCCAGAGGCTCCATGGGCCAAAAACCTGGTGATCTGTTCTGGCAATGATTCCAACCTAGGAGACTTTATGGAGCAGTTTGTCTCTGTCCAATAGGGTTTCACAATGAGTAGTACCCACCAGACAGCACAAACCTTTACACAATTTGTTTCTACTCAATTTCATTGAACATTTTCCCCGAGTTCTGCCCCCAAACCTTGACTGCACGACCCTGCTTTGCACTGTCATTTGTATCGCTTCCTTCCTTCTTTGCCTCAAAATCTCATCTCTCCCTCTCAATTCATCTTCCTGTGACATATGTGTTTAATTACCAGACTCACCAGGTCGGTACTCCTCCCGGGCCGAGTTGATTTGAATTTCTGTCTCGGCAGAAATCTCCAGCTTCTGAGTCACCTCCTCCGCTGTCCTCTTCGTGTGACTCAGCACAAGGATCAGGCTCTCGTCTTCCACCAGGGACCCCTGAGTACTGGTCAGGCGGTAAAGCAAATTATCTTCCAGCTCCTTCATCTTTCTTTTGTTTGCAGTGACTTCTTCCATGAGTTGAGTGCGTTCTTTCTCCAGTTCCTGTTGAAGGAGAGCCCAGCAGTGCAAAATGCAACTTTTCAAAACTTACACAAGCAGCTGAGCCTCTACTGCACGAGCTTTTGCCCAGGCAATTCTGGGACATAGTGACCCATTGCATTGCAGAACAGAACTTTGTGCCATAGGTTTCCCAAGGCTGAGACCTTTGGGAAGCAGATGACCAGGTCTTTACTCTCAGGCACTTCTGAGTGGGTTTGAACCACTAACCTTTCATTTGGTAGCCAAGTACTTAACTGTTTTCACCACTCAGGAACTCCAAGGTCATGACACAGGGATACTGAAGGTCCTCAAGGAGTGCTTGGGTGGTACAAACAGATAACATGCTTGGCTACTAACCAAAAGGTTGAAGGTTCAAGTCCACACAAAGGCAACTCAGAAGAAAACTTGCCAATTTGAATTCTGAAAAACCAGCAGAAGATGGATGCACTTGGCATCAACTCAACAGACACTGATGAACTCCTCAAGTATCAAGAGACAAAACGTAACAGGTGTGTATTTTCAAAGCAGTTTTTACCTCTACTGCTTGTCTGTGGTCAGAACGCTGGCATGTCAATACTACCAAAAACACTTTACAAATTCAATGCAATTCCAATCCAAATGCCACCACTATTCTTCAAAGGAATGAAAAAATTAACCCCCAACTTTATACGGACAGGAAAGAAACCCAGAATAAGTAAAATGCTAGTAGAAAATAAAAACAAAGTCAGAGGCTTTCACTCCCAGACTTCACGTATTATAGAGCCACAGTTATCAAAACAGCCTCGTGCTGGTACAATGATCGATAAGGAAACCAATGGGAGAACCGAGGGTCCAGAAGTACAGCAAACACCCATCGACACCTAATCCTAGGTAAAGAACTTACACACTTACACACACTAACTTACACACCTTTACAACAAATGGTGCTGGAAAACTGGATCCAGTGGAAAAATAATAAAATGGGACCCACACCTCTCACCATGTACAAAAATGAACTCAAGATGGATCAAAGACCTAAACATAAACCGCACAGTTATAAAAAGCATCAACTGAAAATTAGAGACAAACGCAAGAATCCTAATTCAATGCATGAACACACTACCAAATATAATGAAGAATAGCCACACTATAGAATACAAAATAAAGAACTAGTACCTACTAAAAATGCACATCAAATACTTCATCAAAAGAGTCAACAGAGAATTCACAGATTTGAAAAAATTATTCAGAATAATATATCGAATAAAGGGCTAAACTGCAAAATCTGTAGGGAACTAAAGCATTTTACCAAGAAAAATATAAATATTCCAATTTAAAAATGGGCACAAGATTTGAATAGACAATTTAACAAAATATGGTATCCAGGCAGCTAACAACCATATGAAAAAATGTTTGTGTTCATTAGCAGTAAGAGAAATACAAATTAAAACAACAATGAGATGCCACCTCGCCCTGAACTTTTTAACAAGATTCTATTAAGTAGAAAATAATAAATGCTGGAAAGAAAGCAGAGAGATTAGAATGCCTCTACATTGCAGGTGGATATATAGAATTGTACAACCACTATGGAAATTTAAAGATGTATCACATCCTTAAACAAATGCACAGATAAGTACTTTATGATCCAACAATCTCTCTACTGGGTATATACCCTAAAGAAACCAAGAATACAATAAGAACAGACTGTGCACACTTATGTTTATTGCAGCAATTTCCCTACTAGCAAAAACATGGAAAGAACAACAATATCAAAAAATCCTATTACAGAGGAATGGGCAAAGCAAGTCTGGTATATCCATACCATGGAATAGTATGCATCAATGAAAAACAAGGACAGTTCTCTTAGACACCGCAAAACATGGCCAAAGCTAGAGAACATTATACTTAGCAAACTCAATCTTACAAAGACAGATATTCAGTAGCACCATTGTCATAAGAAAGAGAAATGTGGTTTATACACCAAAAGACAAGACTGATAGCTAACTACGAGGAGGCCAGGGACGGGTGAGAATAGAGAGAGGGAAGAGATAGGATATTGAGGAGGAGCCTAGAAAAGATGGAGGAAGCAAGCCCATTCATGGAGGGTTTAAACAGCATCTTGCTGTCGATTGCATTTCTTGAGATGGCATGTACAAATTTATTCAGTATATTTCTTTGGTAAAAACAAAACAGCACTCTACAGATTCTTTAATAGTGGTTTGAGTGGCTTTAAAAAAAAAAGGAGGAAAAGAAAAACCGAAATAGACTTGGAGCCTTTAGTGAGAAACAAATTCAACTCAAACAAGAAAAAAGCAACAACAAAATCAACCACTGGCATGGGGGCCATCCATACTAGGTCAATAAACTGCGTGTGAATTTATGAAGTTGGATTAAAAGCTCTTTCAATTTTATTACCCCATGACTCATGTGCCCTGGATTAGAACGATGGAGCGAAAAGTCATGAAAATGAGGAGAGAGAAAAGAAGGGAGGGAGGGAGAGGGAGGAAGCGTAGATAAGACAGATAAGACGGACACGTGGAAAGGTTCAGGTAAACAAGTACACCACAAAACACCAAACTCACTGGCATTCAGTCAATGCCGACTCATAGCGACACCCTACGGGACCAGGTAGAACTGCCCCTGTGGTTTTCCAAGACAGTAACTCTTTACTGGAGTAGAAAGCCCTGTCTTTCTCCTGCAGAGCAGCTGGTGGCTTCAAACTGCTGACCTTGAATTTAGCAGCCAACTCGTAACCATTATGCCACCGAAGAACACAATACACAGAAAATCTAAAAATACAAGGAGAGGCATATCCCAAAGGTTTTGCCAATAGTTTTAATAAATCTTCAGGTCAGTATAGATGGGGCCATAAAGTAAATAAAACTCCTCAAAGCTGTAGAACCCAGGAGAAAATTAATAGTAACTTCAAGAATGCATGCTGTTTCACCAAAGCACCCCCTTTAAACTCATCTAGATTTCTTGTTTAAGATTCACAGTTTCTCTAGAGTAAAAGCTGACTCAGACAAAGAAAGTATATAACTTCTTGGTCATTTTTCACTGCGCATTAAGTTATCCCATAAAATAGAAGTAGAGGAAACAGATATGGAGTTAAGCTTCCAGACCACACATAATTTAAACATAATGAAGCCAGGGACCTCCAGAAAGTTCACTGTGAAAGTCGCATTTCACAAACTTCCACACCCAGAGATTTTATCACAAATACGAATTCATAATGCTGCTTGTTATTTGGCACCAAGGCTTTAATTTCATATTCCAAAAGCTTTAATCAAATGGAAGAAAAGCCAGACGTGGAATGGAATGCAGGAAGTCAACAGGTGAAGAGAATATATCGCAGAATACTTTCTGCAGAAAAAGAAAGCAACGAGAGACGACAAGAATGAGGCTGAAAAGCGCCCGATGTTCTCAACAGCTGTATCAGTCTATGTAAGAGCAACTCATGAGATCTGTCACTTTTAAAACATGCGTGACACATATATAGGTAGATAGCTGGTTAACCATTTTCGTTATGTGAAGAGAAAACACTTGGGGATGGTTTAATAGTAGAAATACATAAGGAATAAAGGAGGAAATCTCAATGCCAATGTTAGATTATTTTAGTTTCAACTGTTACTTCTCAATTTTTAAAATGTCCTTCTTGACCCATTCTGGATTTGTGCTACGTTTAAATATTTCTCAATAGACGTGTTCTTTCTGGCATATTTTAATATTGCTGCTGGTCTTTTCTTTCCTCTTTTAAACTTATATACACTGTTTTCACTCTTTTTTTTTCTTTCTCTTCGGTATGTTTCCCACTTTATGAAGTACAGGAGTCCAGGGTGTGGGGTACAAAGACAATCACTGATGTAATAATGGCTTGTCATGGGCAGGGGGTGATTGAGGGAATTGGAGAGCAACGGTGAGGTGAATACAACTACATTATGGAAGAATGTGTTATGTGAATTTTGTAAAATGTGAACTTGGGTTCAATAATCCTAGTGGGGAAAATGGGGACATTGATTATGGTTTAGAAAGCACTGATTTTGTCTTTGTGGGGATGGAAATTTTTGGCAAAGGATATTGGTGAGGGTCACGCAGCAAGACTGCTCTACTTGATCTTGCTGAATTGTGTACTGGAGAGATATTGAATTGGCAAATATGTTACCTATATCCTTCATCCAGAAAAAAAATCAACCCAATGCAGCTAAGGATCTGACCATCCTTTGCTCACCTGCTTCTCTGTGAGGATCACTCTTCCCAGCAGCTGATCTTCTAGGCCTTTCATGGTGACAGTAAAGTCGATGATGGAGGTCCGGGCACTAATTTCAGGGGTGTAGGCTGGATTGGGAAGCTTGGTGGTGATGTAGAGTCGGAAGCCGTCCATAACGTCTACCTCCTTGTCACCAACTTTCACCTTTGTGTAGTAAGGGAGTGGGAATAAAACAGATACTCCTGAATCACGGTCTCATTTTTCAATAGGATTAATTATGACTTGAAACAATCCGCTTTAAGTGTTAAATTGCCTTCAATGCATTTGTTCTTTGAAACAAAAGATCAAATAAGCATCCATGGAGCCTCAACCTGCGTGCATGCAAGAAACCCGGGGGAAAGGGACACACGAGGGGGGAACAGGAAAGGAAGGAAGAGGGGCCAGGGTCATCGTTCTCCACTTGGCTTACCTACCTTAAAGGTGGACCCAGTTTTAATGAAGTTTCTTTCCAACACATTATCCAAGGCTGGGTCAAGTTCCTCTCCAACATCTTCAATTAGCAAGGGCCTTCCAAGGGAAAGGCTGTCCTCCAGGTGGCTTCTGAAGTACTTGTGATTTAGAGATGTGATCTAGAAACATGATCATGAGGTGGCTCTTGATAGGTTACAGAATGATGAAGCAAGGATCAAGTACACAAGGATCAAACCAAAACAAACAGATAACAAACGCACTGCCACTGAGTGGACTGGGACTCATAGTGACCCTAGAGGACAGGGCAGAGCTGTCCCTGGGGGTTCCCAAGCCTGCAGCTCTTTACAGAAGTAGAAAGCTTCATCCTTCTCCCATGAAGGGGCTGTGGCTTCCTCATGGGCAACGATGTTGCTGTTAGCTGCCATTGAGTCGGTTCTGACCCAGAGCAACCCTATGCACCAGGCTAACTGCAAGCAAATGCATTCTTTTTTGCAGAGACTCTTGACTTTGGGACCCATCCATAGTGAAAGAATACAGGGCGCTTCGACTTTCCCCATCCTTTCCTTTAGAAGACAGTAACAGGCCTCATGTAACAACACAGCCTTTTCCTCACCACCATCGCTTTTATGACAAATAATGTAAAGTGTTAGACACTGTGGTTGCTGTTGGGTGCCATCAAGTTGATTGCGCTTTGTGGTGAATCCATGTGGTGAACCCAGATTAGAATTGCCCCCCAGGGGTTTACAGAGCAGGTCATCATCATCTGGTCTGTACTCCCACAGAGTTGGTAGATGGGTTTAATCCATGGACGAGCACTTCACTGTTGCACCACCAGAATACACATTAATGTGAAACAGATACGCCCTGATCTAGTAATCAGTGAGCGCCTTCAACCCTACCCAAATAGGGTCGGTAACCACTGAAAGACGGCATGAGTAGAGACCACACAAATGCATGTAGTACCATTTTTAGAAAGGATGTTAGTTTCCTATGTTAGGCCTCGCTCTGTTATTGGGAGCCTTGATGGTGTAGTGCTTACATGTTGGGCTGATAACCAGAAGGTCAGTGGTTCGAAACCACTAGCTGCTCCTCAGGAGAAAGGTGGGGCTTTCTATTCCCATAAATAGTCAATCTCAGAAACCCAGAGGGGCAATTCTCTCCTGTCCTGTCCCATCACTAGGACTCAGAATGGACTGCATGGCAGACAGCTTGGTTTCTAGAGTCTGTCACTGCTCCGCCTAGAATTACAAGCCATCTCCATCATTGCTCAGTGTTTTCTTATTCTGCGCTTCACAATGACTCAGGTCAATAAAGTTGGCCAATAATATAAATATACTGAAGCACATATTACCTGGAGTTCATTCCGGTTTTCTTTGTTTTTAATCCAGATCTTGCCTTGCGTCTGTGGATCAATCAGCAGTGGATACCGAGAAGCCTTAGTGACAATAATACCATTCTGAATGGACAAGTCATCGTTGGGCAGGCCTTGCAGATTCCACTCACTAATAGTAGGAGCGTCAATCAACATCTCGTTGAGATTTAGGTTGCTTCCAAATGGAATCTTCCGAGCTTTCATCTCCTTCTGCCAGTCGTTTAACAACAGATTGCGAAACTCTTGGTTAAATGGACCAGAATACGATAGAAAAGCCGTAGCCAACAAGACATCCCCTAAAACAGAAAAACAACTATCACTTTATGCTCATCCTTGTAACTGCACAAAATGTTTTAAACAGGTAAGGGGGGCGGCAACCATTCTTTGAAGTTCCATAGCTCAGACAAGTTGCTGGTCCTCGGTGAACAAGTAGAGGTTGGGTTCCTCATTAACCAGGTACTTAATTCTCTACCAAGTAGCTGTTAGTAGCCAAGTATTGGATCATTTGACTTTTGTTGGAAATCGGGATGGCCTTAACAGATGCCAAACTTCAGAAGGTAGAAGCTACATTCAAAAGGGAATACAAAAGTGACCTGATAATTAGAGGCTTTCAAAGGTCACCACTACATCTTAACAGGACAGCACAGGGGACAGAGCATCACCCATCCCTCTGAAATGGCTGCACAGATGAGCACAAGAATTTGATAAAAACTGAATGATGGAAGGATTCTGATAGAGTTCAGTTTTGCTAATTTGCACACATAATCTCAGTCCACACAGAAAGTCAGTAAGAGAGGAATCGGCGTACCTACGAGTCTTTTCGTTTGTGCGGCAAACTCTTTGCTTTGCTCTGTCCACCTTTCCTTTTCCCCTGCCAAGCCACTGATCAGGGTGGACGCTGTCTGCATCTTATGTCGACACCTCTCTGCATCTTCAAGTAAAGTCTAAAGACCATAATCAGAAGGAAAGGGTTGAGAGAACTAAAGCTTCTGGCTCAAAAAAAACCTTAAAAACATGTTATGCGCTCTGCCTTAGAACTCATTTTATGCACTCTGCCTTCGAACTCAATATAAGCAATTGAGTTCGTAGAAAAATCCAACTGCGGTGAGACTGCTGTCAGCCTTCTCCAATGAACCTGTCAAAAGTAACAATTTTATGAGAATGACGCAAGACCAGGAGGAATTCTGTTGTATTGTGCATAGGGTGGCTATGGGCAGAACCAACTTGATGGCATCTGTGATAGGTAGGTTTACTGTACCAACATGGCCAATGAACAGATGGAATTAATCGAAGGGCAGAATGATAAATTGCTCAGTGAGCCTCGCTTTTCTTGTCTCTTGCTCTTAGATCATCAGACCAGTGTGCGGCTGCCTTAGCTGGTTCTCTGCCTCAGTTTGCAAGCTACACTACCTGTGGGACACCTAACCTATGGACTGTGTCACTGTAGTTTGAGGTTCCTTCAAGACCTGCTTTGCCACATTATTGGAGTATACATCACTTGAGCTAGGGACTATCAGACCCTGTCATCTGGCTGACTGTTGGTGACCTGCCTTGCTGTTTGCTGCCTGCTGGATAGCTTGAATTGCTCTACAGAGGACTACCCAGCAGCCCTCAAGACTTGAAGGACTGCCAGTGTATTAGCTGTCTCATGGAAGTGAGTTGCACTGAGCTATTTGTACTGTTTTATACATTAATTAACTGTTTATTCCTTATGTTTTATATATATATAAACAAAATATATATATTTTGTTTCTCTAGAGAACCCTAATATAATTGGTACTGGGAGTGTTTCTAGAGAAATAAAATCATAAATATGGGTTTCTTAAATTGGCTCTCCAGCTTGATTAGCCTTAACAGCACTGATAATGCTATTTCTACACCTAAAGGCATGCGTAAGTCTGCCACGCTTCCTAATCCATCACGTGAAGTAGCAAAGCTATATCTATAGTATCACCACCAATAGATGAAGTGCTGGTTAAAGGAGAGGCTCTAGGTGATCATATGTTTGATATTTTCCAGCAGTTTTGTCAGGATGACAAGTAGAGGGAAGCTGGTTGGCTGGTGGTCCTTACAATGGAAACTGTGATTAAGGAGGGGGATGGTCTCAGGGCCTCAGAAGCACACTTCAAGTGCCGAATAATGGACTTAAAAGCTTCTGCCTATGCTGCAAAGGAGAGCCTTCTCTCCTCCAGTAATAGAGCTGATAATGCTGAGAACCAGGTCCAGAGTCTCATTATGCGAGTGGCTGAATTACAATGGCAGCTGAATTGCAGATCTAGAGTAGTGTCTGATACCAAAGTGAGGGCATTGATTGGAAAAAGTTGGGACCCTGAAACGTGGGGTGGGAACATATGGGCTGATGATCCAGAAGAGGAGGATATTGAACCCCTAGAAACAATTGACCCACCCCAGTCAATAGATCCACCCCTCCCAGCTGAAGGTATTAATCCACTGTCAATAAGGCAACCCACACCTGAGCATATTAACCAAGCTGTTCAAGCTGAAATGCCAGGTGGTGCTGCATCAGTAGCATTGACTGAGGGAGATTCCTTACAAGATATTACGGAGAGCACCTGAGAAACCCCCTGACCACCCAATATTCCCTCTAGACCTGTCACTGAAATTAAGGCTCAGAAAGCTCCTAAAGGTGAGGTTGAGATGGTTATCCAAGAAGAAGCACGCTATACTCATAAAGATCTGCTCAAGTTTTCAAATATGTACAAGCAGAAGCCTGGGGAATATCCCTGGGAATGGTTACTAAGGGTGTGGGATACTGGTGCACAAAATGTAATTTTAGACCAGTCTGAATTTCTGGATATGGGAACTCTTCTTTCAATGTCTCAGCGAGAGAGACTAAGAGAAGATATAATTCCTTATTTGGTTGGTTCACTGAAGCATGGACTGCCAGATGGCCTAAATTAGACCAATTTGAGGTACCTGACCTACCTTGGTACACTATAGAAGAAGACATCCAAAAGCTTAGGGAAATTGGTATGTTGGAATGGACCTATCAGGATATTCCCATAGACCCATAAAGGGGGTGTCCTGAGGACATACTCTTTACCACAAGAAACAAGTTTGTGAAGTGGGCCCCCGAATCTCTGAAGATTCCTGTAGTTGCTATTTTATGTGCACCAGGAATAGCAGTGGGCACAGACCTAAGCGAACTCCGACATTTGCCTACAATTGGGCTGATTGGGCCCCGTGGTGGTAGAGGGCAGGTGTCAGCACTGAATCAACAGAGACAGGGTGGGCGTGCTTATAATAGACAGCAGGTTTCTGTAGTCATCAAAGCAACCTTTCTTGGTGGACTTATAGCATTGGCTACTTAGTCACGGTATCCCTAAGAGTGAAATACATGGGAAACCTACTAAATACTTACATGATCTATACAGGTGGAAGAATCCTAGATCAGGCCAACAGCAGAATAGACAGTCGCGATCACTCAATCAATTCCCAGACCTGAGCCAGTTTACAGATCCACAACTCCTTGAATGAGGGGGAGGCCGGGTCCCTGTGAAGGAGGACCCTGCTACATCACTGAAGGTCTATACTGTTAGTCTTTCTTCTAGCCTTCCCCAAAGGGACCTGCAGCCTTTCACAAAAGTGACTGTTCATTGGGGGAAAGGAAATAATCAAACTTTTGGGGGATTACTGGACACTGGCTCTGAACTGACACTAATTCTAGGAGACTCAAAGTGTTTCAAAGGTCTGCCAGTCAGACTGGGGACTTATGTAGGTCAAGTTATCAATGGAGTTTTAGCTCAGGTATGCCTCACTATGGGTCCAGTGGGCCCCCAAACCCATCCTGTGGTTATTTCCCCAGTTCCAAAATGCATCATTGGAATAGACATACTAAGTAACTGGCAGAACCCCCATATTGTATCCTAAGGTGACCAGATATCGCACTTTTGGCAGGACAGTCCTGATTTTTAACAATTTTTCCCATGTCCCGCGGCATTTTTAAAAAGTTCCAATTTTTTGAAAGAATGCACGACAAGCTAGTGTATACGTTTTTTTGGCTGCCATGTGGCTATTTCGCCAGGATATGAGTTTTATCAATGGTGTCCCACTTTACCAATATTAAAATCTGGTCACTTTATTGTATCCTCAAAATGTGGAATAACGGCTATCATGGTAGGAAAAACCAAGTGGACACCATTAGAACAGCCAACAATGACAGGGAACCCACAATGATTCATTCAGGTGGTGTCTTGAGACAACTGGGCACCATCCCAGGGGTTCACAACTGAGGAATAACGTATTTCCATTATTTCCCACAAATAAAGAGAAAAAAATAGAAGCATAAATCCTAAAAGGAGCCCCGGCAGCACAGGTCTAACTAAAAGGTCAGAGGTTCAAATCCAGCTATTTGTGATAGGCAGCTTCCATAACGATTTACAGCCTGAGAAACCTTGTGGTTGAGGATGGTATCAGACCACATAGTGTTTTATTCTGTTATTCTTAGGGCCTCTATGAGTTGGAACTGAGGCGAAAAGGTTAACAGTTCCAGCACACCCAGTAGGTCTGCAGAATACAGGGCCGAAGGTCTGCTTCTAAAAGGTCACAGCTTTGAAAACCCTACACAGCAATTCTACCCTGCGCACACAGAAGACCTCAAGTCAGAACTGCGTGACAACAACAAATGACAATGTATTAAATTATCCTTAACATTTTCAAATATGTGTTATAGAGGCATGTATTCAGATATGCAATGATGGAGATAATGCCTAATAATATTTTACTCTAAGTATTCCTATGTGCATGTTCTATAATGGGCATGAATTGCTTTTGTAAAAATAACATAAGACACTGTTTTTCAAAAGCCAGGTATTTATCCCAGTCTCCTTTTTGTCCCAGGTAATTTCGCTTTTCTTCCCTCTGCTGCTAATGCAGAACACCTCACATCCCTGCTGAGCGCCATGCCCCTATTTGTTGTCTCTCCCCAGAAAGCCAGCAGCTGAAAGGCAGGAATCTACATCAATCTTGACTGCCCACTTCAACAAGAAGCTTTTTTATGTAAATGTTCAAGTGATGTTATAAGATGCTTTTAACATGAATTTGTTTTTCCACATTCTGCACCTATGCACATAGTGAGTTAATAATAGCCAGATCCTCCCTCCCTCCGTGGCTTTTGTTTTCTAGAAATCTAGGCCAGCTGGTGGTGCAGGCTGCTAACTCAAAGAGCAGGGGTTCACACCCACCAGCAGCCACGGAGAGAGATGAGGCAGTGTGCTCTTCCTGTAAAAATGACCACACGGGACCCCCGCAGGGAAGGTCTGTGCTGTCTTGGAGGTTCACTGTGAGTCAGAATCAACTCACCAGCATTTAGCAAAGACCACAGGGGCCTGGGGTGGATTGTGATATGGAAGAAGACGCAGAAGTGAATTCCAAGAGCATAAGAGAGAAAAACAGATTCTCTTCAGTCTAGTTAGGGGGAATTGCAAAATTCACCAGGTTCCAGGAGCTCTGCCCGTCACGGTGACTCTAGAAACCTGAGGGCTCTTCCACAGGCCTCAGCTGCCCGGACCCCAGGCCCAAGCTCTGATCCCTTAGTGGGACACACACTGCCTCATGGGACCGTGTGGTTATAAGTGATGGCCATGATAAAGGCCCTTCCCTGCCTCCTGGTGACCCATGCACCCCCATGTTCTCATAGAGCTCTGTGGGGGGCCAGGAGCAGGAAGCCAACAAGAGGGAATGTTGACCCACATGATCTGGAATCCAAGAGCTCAAGTTCACAAATCCAGTCATTTGTATTTGTCATGAAAGATGTTTCCTAAAATTCAAAATTTGTTTTGTTTTTAAGTTAGAGACATCTCGACAGTAGTAGTTCTTCCAAGAGTACCTAATAAAGGGCACATGCTCAAAAGACAAGAAATAAACAGAGTTGGCTGACTATATAAATGTATAAATATTGAAAATCCAACCTAACTGAACAAGGCGGTACAATATTCCAGCTGTATTCACTTGGTGCTTCTAGACACACCTGAGTGCTCACAATGGCAGAAGTGACAGATGTCCTTCCTCGGAGCATAGACCCATCCACACTGCAGGGCTTTCTCCTGATGATGTGTGCCATGAATTCCACAGAGCACAAGTATAAAAAACCCCACAGGTGCTATGCAATCCTTCCTTAGTACCTAGGAAAAGGTCATTGTTTGCTCTCAGGAGATTTATCTTTAAAAGAAAACACCAGATAGTCTGCATAGAGTGAAAGTGAAATCGTTATCTAAACTCCCTCGTGGGGACCGCTACCTGGGAATAGAGTAGCAGGCAGGCATCACGACTCAGGCCAATTTAAGTCAGACCAGGAGAAGGGGCGAAGCCTCCAAAATCCCCAAGGATAGAATCGAGTGGACCCAGCTCTTTTTATCGAGTGTGAGATCTCTTAGAGGCAGATTGTGTGGAGCGCATGCTTTAGATCACAACGCTAGAGAGTGGTCCCACATAGAAGTATAAAGAATGAACGTGAAGATGTATTGGGAATGTCAGTGGGGAGCGGGGCTTGAGGAAATCACTACAAAATCAAAAATCATGGTGACTCCTCTGCCCATAGTTCAGGGATATGAATAGCCTTGCTATCAGACAGAGAGCATTGTAAAGTTGATGGTGGCAGATATAGTTAAGTTAAAAATACCTTATCATTTTATCTCCCCTGTTCGCCCATTTTAAAGTTCAATTTTTTTATATTGTCTAGGTTCTTTTAGATTGAGGTTTTCCTAAGTTTTGTTTGGCCATTGCTGCTGTTTTTCTGGTGTCTTGTTGTTTGTTTGTTGTTTTTTGTTTTGTACAATTTTCGGCATCTGAAACCCAGAGGAGGTAAGTCCATAGAGACAGTAGCTGGATTGGTTGGAATTGGGAAGCTAACAAAAATGAGTAGAAGAGAACACAAAATGTTCTGAAATTGATTGTGGTTATGATTGCACAACTCTTCTTAATATGATGGAACAGCTATTAAATTGTATTATATGTGAATTACATGCCAAAAAATCAAATAAAATTTTTTTTTAATCTTGGTGATTAACTCAGACCACCCCTTCCTCTGAGAACTCTTTAGTAGGCATTTTACCCAAATGCTTACAAACAAATGCTTATTGATCACAATTTGACTTCACCTCCCTTTAGAACATTCTAGAGCCCCCAGAAACCCCAGCCTGCACAAGGCCAGTGCAATCGAGAAGCCCTGAAACATGAGTGACGTCAGGTCTCTGAGTCTCGATTTCCAGCATGGATTCCTCAATGGTGCTAGAATCAGTCTGTATACACGAAAGAATTGTATTCTCCACTGAAACAGTCCTGAAAGGTACCAAAGCATCAAAACACACACAGGTCGAAAGGTCTTTGTCACAGACCTTTGTCAAGTCCCATGAACACAGCCATGTGGACCAGTCACATTAATGCAGCAAAGGATGCCGAAGCTGACCTCGAAAGGCCAAGATTGAGCCTAGACTGTGCCCCTGACCAGCCCGATAACCAGGAGACCTTCTCTTACCCTTATTCAGGTATATTGGACACATCCTCTAAAATGAACACTCTCCCTACTCTATAAGGTTAAATGAGATACAGTGAAAAGACATGATTTGCAAAACACAACCAGAAAAAAATCTACACAAGATGCTCTCCTTGTCACCATGAATAAGGGCACTCAGAACATTCTAGAAGATTTTTGAGCACTAGCTCTGGGGGTATTGGCTGACCATCCATACACCTCACCAGGGTGAATTGAGAGGTCATATGTCATGCATGTACCATACATAAATGAAATGTATCACCACTCACCGGAAATGGCATCCTTGGAGAAAAAAGGTAGAAAGGGAATGTACAGCTTCCTGTGGGCATGTCCGCTCCCTCCCACACACCCTCCCCATCACAGGACGCATACCTGCTTCTCCGTCATGGCCTGCTCGTACTCGGCCTGCACCACATCGAGCTCTGCTTGCTTGTCGTCCAGCTCAGCCTGGGCCTTCTGCAGGTCCTGCATGGCCAACACATGCCGATTCTCCTGCACCACCAAGTTGGCCTGCCCGGGGCACACAAAAGATGGCAGATGAGCAGCAAGCCTCCCCACCATTTGGAAAGTTAGCACCAAACCTCCCAGAGAAGATGACATAAATTATACTTCATTATGACCAAGGTTGTAATTTTTTTTCCCCGAAAAGCCCTAGATAGTAAATATTTTGGATTTTCTGGGCCGAAAGGCAAAGTCAATGATATTATATAGTTGCAATGGCTAGTTGCCATCCAGTGGCTCTGACAGAGTTATCGAATGTGGGACAGAACAAAATGGTGCTGAGTTCTGTGACATCTTTGTGGCTGTTGACACCACCGTGCCACTACTGTCTCTGCCCATCTCTTTGAGGGCCTCCTTTGTTTCCATGGACCCTTGACTTTGCAGACCCGCATGTCCTTGCCTGGGAATTGCTTTTGTCCAGATGCTGGGTCCAAAGTAAAGACATTACGAAGGTGCTTAGGTAACAATTATTAGTGTAAGTACTTTTCTTGTTTCTTAAGCCATACAAAATTTTCAGAATGTGACCCATTTTGATCATAGGGTTGTAGTAAATTGAATTAGCTAAAATGAGTGATACTGGAGTAGGATGAAACCTAAATTGCTTGTTTGCTGTCCTTACCAAAGCTCAAAATTCAACACCATCAAGTGGGCTCACAGTGACCCACATGAGCAGCTGCTGGTGGTTTCAAACTGCTGACCTAGTGGTTAGCAGCCCAGTGCATAACCTCTACCCCACCAGAGTGGTGTCCTCAAAGGAAGCAAAAAGGGCAGACAGAGAGACAGAAATCAAGGAGAAGGTCTTGGGAAGATGGAGGCAGATTTGGCCCCCAGATCATTCTTTTCCCATACTATGTTTAAACATTGCACTATTAAGAGTCATACAGAAGGAAAACTTAATATTTAGAACAAACTATTTAGAAATATTTCTAATAGTTATAAATATTTAGAACAAACAAGTAGGACTTGTTACTGTTGAATAAAGTGAAGCATAAAATATAAAATTATTCACCAAATGTAACAAGCTAGGTTTTGTTGGTGTGATGTAAGTGGTTTCATGGTTTTGCCTATCATATATTATCTACCATCCATAAAAGAAGCGGTGCCTAGAGCTTTGTTATTTCTTTTAAGGATGCTACAAAGAATGAAATCAACTGACATAATGCAAAGAATTTTAGAGAAAGACGGGTGTAGAAAATAGCCCATGCTTGCAGGGGGTTAAATCCTTTTCACATACACAAACACAAAATTGAAGTCATGTAGAACCAAACTTCAAACTCTCATGAGATCTAGACTTTCTGTAACCCTTGGGGTTGGATGAACCTCTGAGACTATTGCCCTGAGAAAATCTTTAAACCTTCAGCCAAAAACACCCTCTAAAGTCTTCTTACAAACTAGTAGAGTAACTCTTAAAAAATAATAATAATAAAATCAAGCTCACTGCCATCCAGTTGATTCCCACTCAGAGTGATTCTAAAGGACAAGGTAGAACTGTCCTGTGGGGTTCTAAGACCGTAACTCTTTATGAAAATAGAAAGCCTCATCTTTCTCCTGAAGAAGGGCTGGCAGTTTTGAACTGATGACCTTGTGGTCAGCAGCCCAATACATAAACACTACGCCACCAGGAGCCTGCTTAAACACAGTGTTCATTTAAACAACTAACTGCATGTGATGAAATTAACAAGAGCAACTCAAAAGGTTAGACAGGGAGCTTGGGGAGCAGAAAGTTTATGTTAATGACATTGGGACAATTTGGAAAAGGAGGGCGAGAATGGTTGTACAACCCAGTGATCTATATTGATATCAAAGATATTGATACCCCTGAATTGTACACGTAGACTTTATCGAGCTGGTGTATGTTCTGTGTGTATATTTTCAGCAACAACAACAACAAAATAAAACATACTATTAAAAATACAGGAAGATCTCATTTTACCCCCTTTCAGTCCATATGTTAAAACGGCCTCTGGCGGGTGGATGCACTACTAGGAGCCATATTGTTTCTGAGGTGTTTGAAGACAAAAGCTTATTCTTGAATCACTTATTTTGAAGAGAAACTTTTCCTCTCTCAAAATCTCAGGTGACTACAGTTCAGCAGAACCAATCTTTCAAGAAAAAGTAAGAGCCCTATCACTGACCCGAGGCAATGCCAGGCAAAAGCATGGCTTAAAAGTTATCGTTACAAAGACATGGGTTCATGGAACCCTTGTGTTTCTTTCCCGGGCACTGGTCTGAGCTGCAGCTGTGGCCATGGCTTAAACATGGAAGAAAATCAAGGCCACTGTATCTAACGACTTACTAAAGTATCACAGTCACAGGGTTCTGAATTTGTTTATTCTAGTATTTTATAGAGTTAAAATAAAGAATTAAAAATTAAAATAAAAGCTCTCAAAAGAGGTGACCAAAACAATACCAACAAACAAACACTCCCCCTGCCATTGAGTAGATTCAAACTTAAGGTCACCCCTTAGCATACAAAAGAGCAAAACACCACCCACTCCTGCCTCCTGCTCACAATTGCTGACAGAGGACAACAGCCCCATGGGGTTCCCAAGCCTGTGGTCTCTGTGAAATCAGACTCTCATACCTTTCTCCCCTGGAGTGGCTGGTGGGCCCCAACCTCAGGCATTCTGGGTAGCAGTGGAGGCTTTAATCACTGTGCCAGTGGGGCTTTATAACAGACCCCAAACCTAACACCTGGCTCACTTAGCCTGGGGCTTGGATCCATTATGATTCATGTTCTTGTGAGCAGAGGAGAAGCCCCCCCGAGACAGAGACCTGGGGAAGAAAGCCATGCGTGGAGGTGGAGATCGGATTATCTACAAAGGAAGTGGCACCAAGGAGTGTGGCCACCACCAGAAGCTAAGAAGGAACAAGGAAGAATTATTTTCTAAAAACACTGGTCACCACATGGCTCAGTCAATCCCTTAGTTTCCAGAGCAATGAGAGAATAAATTCTTGTTGTTTTAGGCCACCTCTTTCTCACTCAAGAAAATAAAAACAACAACAAAAGCTCACCTCCCATCAAGTTGATTCTGACTCATAGTGACCCTGTAGGACAGAGTAGAACTGTCCCTGTGGGTTTCAGAGATGGTAAATCTTTATGGGAGTAGAAAGCCTCTCTTCCTCCCTTGGACTGGCTGGTCAACTGAACGTGTGGTAAGCAGCCAGCATGATAAGCCACCTAGTTTGTGGTACTTTATCATAGCAGATTTAGAAAACGATTCCTGATGTTATGATTGTTGTTATCCTGTTCACATGTAGGACACCATTACTTTAAGAATTATGTTGATGTTAACTGTTGTGTTTGTATTGAATAGAGGGACAGAAAAAAAAGAGGAAGGCCCTCAAGGAGATGGATGGACACAGTGGCCGCCACAATGGGCGCAGGCACGGCAACAATGATGACGATGGTTCAGGACTGGGCAGTGTCTGGTTCTATTGTGCAGACGGTCATTATGGGTAGGAGCCAACGCAATGGCACCTTACAACAATAACACGGACTGATATGTATTGTTTTTCATAACCAGATAAATTCCAATAAAATGAGGATTCATAGAATCTGAGTCATTATTATTGTGGTCAACATTTGTTTAAATGTATTCACTATTAGAAAGCTTTTGGCCCATCTATATAGATTGTAGAATGATTCTGCTACAAATTAGTAATGGGCTGGTGGCAGCTGGAGTTTAGGAAGTATGGTGGATCCCTCTGCACTTGGAGGGCAAGAGTCTGCAAGTAGAGCCGTTCCTGGAGTTAGGAAGGTTAGCGTCTGTAATTCCTTATGCACTAAGCAGAGTTGGAAAGTGATAACTTGTACTCCTTTTGTCTCCTAGTGCTCAGACTTCTCCTTGGCTGAGAATGGTGGTGGTGGTGGTGATGGCAGGTGCTGTAAAGTCAGCAAGCACCAAAAAAAACACCACCCAGGCCTGCACCATCCTCTAAGGTGCTGCTAGGCTTGAAACCATTCTTGCAGCCACTGTGCCATTCCATCTCCTCAAGGGCCTTCCTCTTTTTTGCTGCCCCTCTATTTTCCTAAGCTTGAGGTCCTTCTCGTAGACTGGTCTCTCCTAATAACATGTCCAAAGTTTAGGAGATGAAGTCTCATCATCCTCACTTCCAAGGAACATTTCTTCCAAGCTGATGTGTGTTGTTTCGGTTTGGTTTGGGTTTTGCCAAGTCCATGGTACTTTCAATCTTTGTAGGTTCTTTTTGATAGTGTATCTTTTTTCGGATACTGGAAGGGATCTGGCAAAAGAACTGCTCCTAGGTCAGGGTGCCCATTACAATATAGCAGGCAGAACCAATGAGCTGCTCCTGTAACGACAACAGTCTAGAAAACCCCATGGGTGTTTGCTCTGTCACACAGGGTCACCATGAGTCGGAACAGACCCAACACTACCTACATGAAAACAAATCTCAGGATAGGACTCGGAGCGGGAGGAGCATGCAAAGCCTTTGCCATTGAGTCAGTTTTGACTCATAGTGAGCCTACGGGATGGAATAGAACTGCCCCCACAGGGTTCATTAGCCTTCAATCTTTACGGAAGCAGGATGCTCCAACCCAAGAAGCAGCTGGTGGGTTTGAGCCACCAACTTTTTGATTGGCAGTCAAAGACTTCATCACTCTAACACCAAAGCTCCTTTTACTGAATATGTTGTTTTCTTAGGTGCCACCGAGTCCGTTCCAACTCATGGTGAACCTACCGTCTATCCTCGAGTATAAGCCCACCTGAATATCAGCCACGACACCTAATTTTACCACAAAAACTGCATTAAAAATGTGCTGAAAGACTCGGCTTATACACGAGTATATACGGCATATACAACATAATGAAGCATTGTCGGGTGCTGCACTATCCTCATAATTCTCCTTAGGGTTGAACCCATCCGTGCAGCCACTGTGTCCATCCAGCTTGTCAAAAGTCTTCCTCTTTTTCTCTGCCCCACTTCTCTATGAAGCACAATGTCCTTCTCCAGGAATCGATCTTTCTTGACAACATGTTCGAAGTACATAAGATGATCTCCTACCATCCTTGCCTCTTAAGAGCATTTGGGCTGTACTTCTTCAAAGACAGATTTGTTTGTTCTTTTGGCAGTTCAAGGTACTTTCAAAGTTTTCACCAGCACCATAATTCAACTGCGTTAGTTCTTCTTCGATCTTCCTTATTGTCCAACTTTCACACATATATGAGTCAATTGAAAAATATCATGGTTTGGGTCAGGTGCACCTTAGTCCTCAAAGTGCCTTTCAGCACTTTAAAAAGGTATTGAACAGCAGATTTATCCAGTACAGTCATTTGATCTCTTTGTACTGCTGCTTCCATAGCATTGATTGTGGACAAACCCCTTGACAGTTTCAATCTTTTCTCTCCATTTACCATGAATACACAGCGTGCTCATGTAGGCATTAGATTGGCACAGTGGCTGCAACAATGGGTTCAAATATGACAAGAGTTGTGAGGGTGACTGGACTGGATTGTGTTCCCTTCTGTTGTTCATGGGGTCACTACAACTCAAAACAAACTCAATTTAATACCTAAAAACACCAACATCAAAATGCCCATTTTGAGTGATGTTGGAGTCTTCAATGCTTCCAATATCAATGATATCTAGCAGTATAGCATCAGTTATTGGGTCGAAAATTCTCTGAGCCAAACAGGACTCCAAGGGCCTCAATGACTAGAAAACAGATCTGGGATGGCAATTATTAAAAATCTAATGACATTTGTATCTCTGTTCCTATTTCTTACATTCCTGATCATGTTTTATCATGATTATTCTATTTTTAGGGGTAGTTTGCAAATAAAAGCTAATTTTATTTTTTTCTTTAACAGTTATATTAGCACTTCATTCCCATGTCATACAATACAGTAGTTCAATCATATCCAGAATTGTACGATCATCACCGCAGTCAATTCTGGAATATTTTCTTCGTCTTTGTACTCATCATTATTCATGTAATTATTTTTTTTCTAATTCTGGCAAAAAATACACAATGAAACATTCTAAAATCCCACAACTTCTACATGGATAATTCAGTACTATTGATTATACTCTTTGTGTTGTACAA